TCGGATCACTTGCTGTAAAATCCTGAGAACCACAAACAACTCACCGAACAGATTAACAAACAATTTCAACTATTCCAAATGATGGAAAGCATCATTTATACTCATTCACTGGAATAAAACACATATCATCCCGACCCTAACTAATTGTTCCAGCAAACACTGATCCAAATGTCGCATGCCTGGAATAGTCACACTAATATATACTAATACTAAACATTAATAAACGCATTTGGGTAGTGCCATCCAAATTATGCTATTTGGAAACTGCAATGATCCGAACATGGTCAAGAACCCATGCTTTAATATTTTTGTTAGGATTTTTGTTGGCGTCCCTTTTGGGATATGTTTTCACCGTTGGTGGTTTGACAGCTTTCAGTTAGCTTTGGTGGCTTTTGGCTTTTGGTGGCTGTTGGCTGTTGGCTTTTGGTGGCTGTTGGCTTTTGGTGGCTTTTGACATTGGGCGGCTTTTGGCTTGTGGTGGCTTTTGGCGGGTGTTGGCTTTTGGTGGCTTTTGGCTTTTGGCGGCTTGTGGTGGCTTTGGCTTTTCGTGGCTTTGTTTGCACAGCTGCCAAATGTAAGAAGGTATTGGTTTTATCTAGATGATTGCAACTCACAGACGGCCATGAGATATTGTGTTATTGGAATCCTTTCGGAGGGAGGTTTTCATACTGATCACTAGCTTTAGACAGCTGGCTAGCTGTTGGGCAACGTCATGGTGCATGTGTCGTTGGCACAAGATCCCACAAGGTCTGCACTTGAAGGTTCACGAAGTGCTGTGCCTGCCACGAAATCTGCACTTCGAGGTTCACAAAATGCTCCGCCTGCCACAAAATGAGCAACTGAAGGTACTCAAAATGCAATGCCTGCCACGGAACCACTATGTGAAAGCGCTACCAGAAAAAATAATCCCAAAGAGCGCGAAAAAGAACATCCCTCCAAAAAAGTCACTCACTTCAAGAAAGGGAAAGTGGTGATTCACCAGGATTTTGCATGATGAATCATGATGCTATCATGCGCCATCCTGAAACCCATATGATCATTCCCAATCTGAGATGTCCAACTTGCTGTCACTACCAGAACAGGTGGCGACAGACGCTGCATCTCCAACCAACAGGTGGTTTGGCTCCGCTTCGACCCTCGAAACCGAACGCTCTGAGAGCTCATCTCCGAGCCAAACGGTCCCGGTGTTCCACCCACGCGGCTGCCCGGTCGAAGTGCTGTGCCGCGCTGCGCCCAGGCACCGGGAAAAAGGCGAGATTCTTGAGTTTCGACCTGTTGGGCTGTCTTTCGCACGGGAGCATCTCCAAAGGAGGAGCGGTGTTCGGAAAAATGAGCATGGTCATACTAGATTGGAGGGACTTTTTCCACACCCAACTGGATTCACAAGTACACTTGTCGAACTGATCAGTATTATTGCGCTATTATGGATTATCAGAATGCTGTGGCCTGGTGATTAGTACGAAGAAACAATCTACTGTAACACCATCACATCTAATCTAATGTTTCCCGCTCTCCCATCTCAGAGGCCAATCCCCTGCAGAACTTGCAGAACATGGCACAACCCCAAGCTGCCACCCCCCAGGGCCACCTCCGATTCCCATCATCCCATCTGATTTCCATCCCACCACTCCCGGGTCACCTCTGCTCAGGCTTCAGGTTCCCTCCCCGGTGCGCGTGCGCCACGGCGCGCCACAGCGGCTCTGGTGCTTCCGAGGCGGCCTCGTTCACGCCGGGCTCTGAACGTACCCCATAACCCGAGAGGTGGCTGCCCCTTTGGTGTTGCAAGGGGCGGCAAAACAGTGGAAAAGGCCTGGAAGAAAGGACTGGAGCCAGCAAACACATCATGCAATTCTTTTGGTGTTCATTGTCTCAGGTGGTGCCGGACCTCTTTCTTTAACGGCAGCATCCCAAACCCTTTTTCCCAATATGTATATATAATTGTATATATATATATATATGCAATTCTTTTTTGTTTAACAGTAAGGCTTCTGTTGGGTTTAACAGTTCAAGTTAAATGCCTGCAGGGTTCTTTAGTATTTTGACATGATCGTGGCAAACAAATTACCAGATTCCAAACACTCCACCTGTGTCACATATATTTCCGTACATCCGGCTGGGTCAATGTACAGTATATTCCATTGCCATGGAGGATAGTGCCATGGAGTATCAGGGAATCGCACCACCTTCCTAAGGACCTGATGTCGTTCCCCAATCTCTACACCAAACAACGACTTTTCAAGCCAATGGCTCACCAAACTGGACAACACACACACAATCACAACCGAAGACAGCCATTGATCCTAAGTTAGATGAGGGTGGCAGGACTCCGAATGGATCCAAATCTCTCTCGGGGGCGAAACTTCCCGACACTTCCCTGCTTTCGTCTCACCGCTACATGACTGAAGTGACGTAAACTACGCGCTCGCCTTCTTCGCCGCGGCGGCGCCCACAGCCGCCAGCCGCTCCACCGGCGGTTCTGGTGCCACCTGTTTCGGGTGGCGATGATCGTAGAGATCATCGAGCAATCCATAGGGTGGAACCATGTTGGGGTCGAAGAACGACGGCTTTTTGTTCGAACACTTTCAATTAAACAACAGCAATGGTACATGTCATTGGAGAATCACCCCGGCCCAAACAAGCACAAACCACCTCATGCTGAAGAAGGGGTGTTCACAAAATAGGGATGGAAACCACCACAGTCCAACTTTTCAATCTTCAACCAACCATCTTTCCCATGCACCGAGAAACTACTTCAGTCATCTTCAGGAACTTCAGTCCAATTGTTCAGGCATGTGCCCTTCCCAGGGCCCCTGTTCCATGTGCGCAACAGGGGTGTCTACGCGTCCAATCCAGAACCCCTTTCCCGGAACAAAGGTTCCTTGAGTAGAGCAAACATGATGCTTTGCCCAGCGTTGCCGCGGCCAAAATCCAAAAATCGAGAAGGGACCCCCCCTGCTGCATTTTTAAGGTCCACATGCACATGAAAAAATCATGCGCATAAAACATGATCAACAAAAACGTATTCCCAGGGGAAGCACGCATAGCGCAGAGCTCTCAGGAGGTTCCATGAATTCTCCGAAGGAACCGGCAAATCCCCTTCACCAGGACGGTGTGTGTTCTATGTTTTTTTCTGCGGTTGTGGTCTGACTGGAGGCCTCACGACGTTGGTCATCTCGATGAAGTCGTTTGATCCAACAGGGACCCTACAATATGGTTGCATAGTTACCCCCCAAAAAAACGGGTCTTTTGCCGTCGTTTCTATTGGTGGCAGGACGTTGAATTGGTACCACCACACCACAAGCACTAACCGCACTAACCATGACTCCTACTTTTCACCATAATAATGATCATCGGTCATTTGAAGGGTCGATCGATGCATGAAACGGGTCGTTGACACAATGGAGAGCTCTGCCTGCCAATCTGAGATATCTCAAAAACACTTGCACTATATACAAATAAGATCAATTGGGACATACATTAAGACAAACAAAGACCCGTGGGGGATATTTGGTCATTCATTCCATCATGGAAACCGATCTGCACCTTTTTTCCTTGCATCCAAGTTGCAGTGCCCCAGGCGAAGAGCTTCTTGAATGCCTGGAGCCACAAAGGGCTGCAGCTAGGCCAGGTGCTGCTGCAACCCTGCTGCTGTGCGCTTAGAAAAAGGTGTTTCAGGAGGAGTTTGACCCCACTTCCGATGCTGTTGATCCTTTGTTTTTTCTTCGAGTGCTTGGAAGAGTCGCTTGTGCAAACGAGTTCTTGCCGGGGTCCATTGGTCTTTAGTCTCATCCACCTCAAAGAAGCCCAAAAGTCGCAACGGTTCATCCCCACGCCCAGCCCCGCTTTGGCCACCTCCAAGTGTCGCAGGATGTCGGGAGGAAGCTCGGCCACCGGGAGTCCAGGGCGAGTGGAGTCCGCTTTCAACAAGACCTGCAGTGTCTTAAGACCGTGAACAACAAATATACAACACATGCACATGATGTAGCCGGCAACCATTTTTCCAAGCAGGAAGTTTCCTAAATGAAGATCGGGGGTGATTTGCTGCAAACAGGTGCGACGACTTGTGAGTCATTATTTGTGTGTGGTGACGAGGAATTTCATGTGGCCTGACGTGGAGACAGGGTTCTTCAACCTCTGTTGGTGTCTTTGTCACGTTACCTCATATTTTTTTGATGCGATCGCCCATGGATGCACATGATCTTGTGGCAAGTCATCACTGGGAAGCCGCATTGTAGCCACAAGCAACGCAGAACCCACACAAAATCTGCAAAGAAGAACAAATGCATCACTATGTCAGTGATTTTCAGTGCATGTTTATGCATGTTTATGTCTGTTTGTCTGTCTTTGTGCCTATCCTTCTCTGACATGTATGAGGCAGTGGCAACCAGTGTTTGATAGCAAAATAGTCAAGGACCCATGAACCCAAGACCTCCGGGATAACAACTAATCAATCTGTCGTTAGCGATGAATTTTGACACAACATCTGGATGACAAACGTAAAGGAAGAACTCTCTAAAGGCACAGGTTGGCCAAATGTTAGGCCCACCCCAAGTGCTCAGCCCATGACCATCCCCACTTGAACCTTTTTCAGCTTGGGCCAAGCTGAACCGGCATCTGACCACATCCCTCGGCATGTGCCTCGCAGGGCTTGAACCAGCCACGCTTGGCAGCCTCGGAGATACTTGAATGGAGCAGGCATGTCCTTGCGGAGGAACTTTAAACCAAAAAACCATGGAACTTCAGAACTACAGCCAAACTTGAGGGTGACCACCAAAAACACGGGTAGCCCTCATGCTTCACTACGTATCTCCTGGTACCTTTTCATTGGCTGACGCTCTGTGCATCGGCTCGAAAATGAGGGCCCAGCACCACCCACCTCTTTTGCTGGCCTTAGCTTAGCTGATTGCTCACCGGATTGCTGCAGTTGCAAGATCAAGAAGGACTGCCAACACAACACTCTGATGCTGATATGCTGTGCTGGGCGCAGGCCAAGCTCCTTTTCTGGCCGGTTTTCTGTGTCGAGGGTCAAAAGGCCTCGTAATTTCGCATGAATTCTTCCCTATTTATTTGAAACAATCCAATTAGTTCAAAAGATCACACAGCCTCTTAGGACTGCAATGGTCGGCCATCCGGCCTGGCCGGCCTGGCCCAGCATCTTGCCCTGCACCGTCGATGTCATGATCCCTCGCCTTCTGCCTCATCCAATCCCTCGCCTTCGTCATCCAATCAAGAGCCGTTTGAACCGTTGGCTGATCGCCGTTCCCGCGAGCGAGAAGCGGCTGCCGAAACGGGAGCGGACCTGCAGGGAGGCCAAGCTTTCGAACTTGGTGGCCACACCTTTCCGCGAAGCCACCAACCAACTCATGGCCTCCCGAGACGGCGAGGCCAGGCACTAGGCACTCCGAGTGGGAAGCGACTGAATTGGCACTTCGTGATGGGAGATGGACAAAAGTGAAGTCATAGACAACCAAGTCTTAGCGTTCACCGTGTTCTATTTATTATTTGAGGAAAGGCTGATGGACGGCAACATGATGCATGACACTGCAGGATTCGTCGATCAGTTGCAGTGGTTTGGAGACGTCAATGGGCATATGGATTATGGATCCTGTGCGTGGGGTCGGTGCTTCCTGGGCCACCAACTCCTTTCCAGTCCATAATAGTGTTGACAAGGCCGATATATGCGCGTCCATGTCGCACAAGAATGGTTTTGGTTGGCTGCGAGGAGGTTGTGAAGATTTTTGAAGTGTAACACTGTTGGAGAAGAGAACGGCCTTCCCTCTCCGGAGTTGCACTGGTCAGTCTTTGGATGATTTCTGTTGTGACTCTCTACATATTTCTCCTACCCTCAACACGGGCCTGCAAAATGGTTAAGGCTGCCGCAGCGATGGGGTTTAACTCAGTCAAGAAGGTAATGACACCAGCAATTGCAATGGCCACAGCCGAGTTGAAGGGTAGCAAGGCACCTTGCCTGAGTTGCTGACGTGATTGGGATGCTGCCCCTCCCCCCTCTCTCCCTGCCCAAAAAACACCTTAGTTGAACAAAACTCGCCATGATGGGGGCCACAAATCTAAACGGAACATGCCGGACAAACATACCATACAAGTACAGTATACCAGTTAAAACAAGAACAGCCCAAAATGTTATCCCCCAAGTCGGAATTCGGAATGATTCTTCCCATGTGCCCGACCTCTCCCAGTCTCCTCCGCCCAAAAAAACCGCCGAGGTCGAACAAACAAGCCCGGTCGCTGTTCTGCTCGGTTGGCAAAGGCTTCGCACAGCGAGGCTGCGCGCTTGCAGGAGGCTTGGGTCCTCTCGGCCTTGCAAGAAGCACGCTCCGCTTGCATCATGGTCAGGGCCACCACCAAGGCTGAGGCACCTGGTCCGCTGGAGGTTCCGAAAAAAAGGGATTCCTTCTCTATTGGCCTTAGAACGTGCCAATCAGGATGGATGGAATCTGCTTTCCTCAAGCAGATTCTTCTTGCAATCTTTATCATTCTGATGTTGCGACTCACGACTCACGGTAGCTTTGGAACCCGTCATTCTTGTCTTCCGCGGACGTCGAAGAACAAGCGGTTCCGCGGCCTGTGCTGTTGACGGCCTTTTCGGCCAGCTCGGCTTCCAAAGGAAAGATCAACCTGCAGGGGATCCCTAGTCCACTGGCCACGGGATCCCCACGTCAAGGGCAGGGATTTGGATGATCCGCACAGATTGTCCATCCAGGGATCCTTCTGTAGTGTAGTATTCTGGTGCTGATGGATTGGGCATGCTGAGTGTTTGGAGATGATAGAAAAAAACAATTCCAAACTGCATGGGTGCCTGAATGGGTGAAAGTTTGATCTCTTTACATCTTGATCTTCTGCACAATGATTGTTTTTTTTTTCCACTGGGGACATGGCTACAGCTTCGCAGCCTAAGTGCGTGTTTTCTAGCACAAGGAGGACCAGCCAAAAGATTTCTGAAGGAGGACCAACCAAAAGATTGCTGAGCATTCCCAAGTTTGCAGCAGGAGCGGTGGCAACGCAGCTGCCATGATCGCAAAAATTCTCTGACGTCTGGAGGTGGGCAAAGCTCCACTGCCATTTTCCACGGACTTGGGGGAGGTCTGTCCTAACGGTGAACCATGGTGCGGTGCATCGGAGCTTGGCACGTCGAAGTGACGTGACATGTCCCTGTATACGCGTTGATGAAACAACATCACAAGCGATGCAAAGCAAATCTTTGGGCTTGGACTCTTGCAGTCGAAATGCTAAAAAGATATACGCAATTGCCACGAAGATATAAATAGGAGAAAATGGATTACAGTGGATTTAACATGTAGTGGATTGGCTGCCTATTATGGCTTCAAATTTCTGGTCATATATAGAACCCCGGCTGACCGACAAACACCCCACAAATACCACAAATCCCGATGAGTGTCGGATTCCATTCAACATCTTCTGATTGAAGTTATCTGCGGCGATCTTCTCCACACCTTGTGCCCATTCTCGCACCTGCAGCAGCCTCCCTGCAGCAGATCCGCAGAGGATCACCGAAGCGGTTGCAACCAGGAGTTGTGAGACTTCTTGCAAACGCACCTGGGATCTGCAGCGGGTTCTGGGGTTTCACTAACCCACCTTGGTTTCTTAAGGAAACTCGCTTGAACCGTGTCTTCAGCTGCACAAAAAGAAGGCGGGCGTCTGGCAAAAAAGGCCAAGAACGTTGATTACATGCCTGTTTCCAGCAGGAAAAGCTGTGCTGTGCTTGCACTCAGGTGCTAGGTGTGGATGCCACTTGAGGATGTTCCAGGGTGACTTGAGGACCAACCCTAGGATCGCATTGCAGTCGGCGACCCCGACCATCCCCAAGAGGTAGGCTTTCCACAAGGAACTGATGCTCACCAGCTCCTCCATGGTGGACATCTGTTCATTAACCTTGGTCAAGGATGATGGCTTTACTGCTTTCTGGTTGCCTTCGACCAACTCACACCGTTGCAACATACACACACAGAGTCACTAGCCCATATTCTACGCCATCCTTGCAGCCACACCTGAATAAGACATAGTAGGCTCAAACACTGAAACTTGCGGCCCCGGGCCCAAAACACTTCTATCAACATCTTAAGGTTTTCAAGCTCACAAAGGGTATAAGGGTACCCCTCACACAGGCCTCATGGTTCACACAGAATCCCATCAACCATCATCAGGTCATCACCTTTATGCTCATTTATGAGGGAGATCTGGTCTCCAACACCTCCAATCTCAAACCTTGTTGACCTTCAAGGCAAAGGTGATGAATTAATCTCTCTCTCTCTCTCTCTTTATATATATATATATATCCTACGCGTGCATTGCATATGAACCCCCATACGCCCCCGAAACATTGATCTATTTATTTGGTGACTTTTGCGTCTCCATGTGACCTGAGCTGCATGCGTCTTTGCCTGGGCCACGCAGGACCTCGAGTCGCTCTCCGCGTAGACCACGAAGACGGTGAGCACCGTGCCCGCCAGCGGCACGATGACCTCTGTCAAGAGCTCCGAGAGCAGAAAGGGTGCCTGGACCACGCCGCGCAACGCGGGCAACGCCGCGAATGCTGAGCTTTTGCAGCACACGCCCGGCCCCAACACAGTATTCATCCTTCAGCCGCGAAAGGGATGCAAAGCAAGGACAGCTGGGGTATGAAACAGATCGAAGAATCATCTGTTGGAACCCTTCCCCTATAGGAGAGCAAGGAGAATCCGGGAAGTTGTAGGCGGATGAAGCGGCGATATACAACCATGTTGAGACCTTTCCTGGACCACGATGTTGTGGACGTGGCTGTATTCAACAATATTCAAAAACATCCGCATTGAGATTGGCTTTTGCCTCACATCCTGGATTGCTTGGAATCCTCAGACTCATTACTCTTAAAGATTCCCCCCAAAAAATGGAGCACAAAAAACTCCAAGCCATAGCTTCACCTCGACTCTACACCTTCCACCCCATGAATTCGTCCCAGATCTCCCCGCGCGTCGCACCCGAGAGATCCCCCCCCGGCCCGGTGCACACCCCGCCGAGCCACGAGGATGGACCCGCCTGTGAGGATGCCCACGAGCGAACCCACCCGGATCCAGTTGGGATCGTTGCCACGCACCGTGACGCGCAGCCTCACCACGTGCCATCCGGGACGGAACCGGGAGGATGGAGGAAAAGGATCCCAGAGAGAACCAAGGAACATGATATGACAAATATGATATCAAGTTGCACTAAGTATGTTCTTTTCTAGGAAGCTTTGTAGAACCTATCCACTTCCATGTTCGCCAATCAAGCAACGTCGATCAACTTTGAGTCATCTGCAGTGATCAATTTGCCAGAAGGGGGAAATCACATGAAATCACACATTTGAGATGATAGGAAGGATTGGAACTAGGGTTGGACTCCTCAATCACCAACACCTCCTGTTCAAACAAGACCACTCCCAAGTCCCCAACCTCTAACATCAACATGGCAAAAGAAAAAACAACTAGAACGTCACCTGGACCGCTGGAGGTTTACCAACGCCACCAGGTCTGAAAACCGCACGTTCTTCGCCGCACCAGGGAGCTCTTCCAGATCGTCCTGCACTCTCCGAACCACCTGGTCTTCTGGTCTCTGGTAGAAGGTCTCTTCAGGCTTGGCCTCATCGAACATCCGCAAGAAACGCCGCACCCGGCGCATCACTGTGGCACGCAGCTGGGAGGGCCACAGTTGGGAGATGAGACCTTCACCGAACTGAATGGGTTTCTCCAGTATCTCCTCATCCTGAACATGTAGCTCCTGAACAGGTGCCAAAAAAGAACAGGATCCCAAACTCCCCAACATGATCAACTATTCCCACACTTGGGAACTACAATTATCAATATTCCAAACATCCATGGATGTGGATGAGTATCAGTACATCAACTTCCCCCATCCTAAAGTACTATAAATACATCTATATATATATATATGTATACACATACATTTACATATGTTATATATAAAGTGCAGTATGTCAATTGATTATGTGATGTAAAACAAGTGCCTTGAAGCGCCCACTGCAGAAAAAAATAAACACTGAACACTCATCATAAAATACACTTACTGGTTGCTCTATGGGCTTGATGGGCGTCCCGAACAAGAAGACTTATGGGAAGAACACAATTCCAGTGCTGATATTCACAAACATACAGGACAAATGGCTGGGGTTCAAAAAAACTGACTTACCCTATCCCTAGGGCTCCTAAGTACCTTCTGAGAAGGTGTTTGGGGGAATTCCTTCTGAGGAGGCGCTTGGAGCCCTAGGGTATGTTGGAAGGCAACGGAATCTGTTGCCAACTCTTTCGACCGAGCATCTGGATATGGAGGAAAGTTCCCTTGCAGCCTCTGACAATCCCGACCTTCCTTGGATGTGATAATTGCCGCCTCCTGTGATTCCACAGCTCTCTGCACGGCCTTCACGCAAACACCCAACCCGAAGATCGGGAACAAGCCACCAAACGATACGTTCACGGCACCTAGGGAGGTGACCACCAAGGTGTTCGAGAGCGCCAAGGCACTGGTGAGAGGAAGTATTCCTGGTGTTTTGGACAGTCTCAAGCCAATTCTTGAAAAAATGCCAAGGGTAAACAAGTATACAACTCATTCATTGTGTAGGTCCATGGTCCATGGTCCATGTCGATAAAACATGATGATAAAATCATATGGCACCTATCCTACGGTGCACGAAAAAAAAATAAAACAAAACTCTGCAAACTCAGCATCTGGAGCAGGCCGATGCAATCTGAGCCCATGCATCCGTGCGACTATGCACCCGGCGAGTGCGAGCAGTATAGAATTCTCCAAAGGAGACTTGACGCGCACAGTTGGCGATCACAAATCCAATCTCGGCCACTAACAAAGCATTGGCCGCACAACATCGACGGATCAAGGTCTCTGGGAGGAGCATCACCTCGAATTGAAGTTGGCAAATGGAGCGGAAAAAAACTCTTTGAACTGGTCTTTGAACTGAAGAGGTTTAGTTCTGGAGGGTATATTGGCTGAGGATGAGATGACCCACAACCTTACTGCATACGTTAGTCTCAATGGACTTCCTGCGTTCTGAAGTGAGTTTAGTCTAGTTACTACATATTTATATATACACGCCAGGGCACCCTAAGGGGTGGTTAATGGACACCGCTTAAACCCTCTAAGGAGCCTTTGATAGACACCCCTCACCGGGGCCGCGTCTGCGCGTGCAGTCGAAGCACCGGTCCCAAAAGATCGAACGACGCGACCGAGCGGCCAGGACAGGTAGAGCCAGCCAAAGGAGTTGCGCTCGTGGCCGCGCTCTCCGTGGCGGCTTTCCTCCAATGATCCGGGTAACTCCCAAAATGTACTTTTCCACTTGCTCCTGGCCACGTTGCGGTCCGAAGCTTCGATCGCAACGTGCATGGTGGAGTACCGTTACATGAAAAGGGGTGCAAGCACAGGGTCTGTCCTCCGTGAGTTCAGCCAAAGTCCCACTTTTCTTGAATCAGAGAGAACCACATGACAAACACACTGAGCCACAAACGAGAGGGTCATGGAGTATCTGAAGTATCATGGAGTATCAAGGATCCAAGAACACTTCGTCAAAGTCTAGAAGCGCTCCACACCTGACGCAGCCGACTGTAAAGTCCAAACATCACACACCCTATGCTCAAGCTGCTAGCTTTACAAAAGAAGCACCTTTAGAATGCTGCCTTCAAGCCAACCCCAACAGGCAATGATTCAATCCAATCCACCTCCTACAAATTCCAAATCTATCCTAACCTCCCATCTCCTGACGTTCTAAGCTCAAGATGTAGGCCATCATCGACACGGCGATGGTCGGTAGCTCAAAGGTCCATGCCATCCTGAGAGGTTTCGGCGCTCGCCGGATCCATGGGTACACGGTTTGAACTCCAACGGCACTGGTACACAATGCACTCAAATGATCTCAAATGTAGAATTCGATTCATTCAACTACCACTCCAAACTTGAAAAGTTCAAAACAACTCTTCATGGGAGGCCTAAAAATAATCAAGAGTCTGCAGTGCAGTCTACATGATTGGCTTCGGTGACTCCGACTCCAAAGCTGATGTCATAAGTTGTCTAGAGTCCATTAGCGGCATGATCCCCTAGACATCGAAAGAGACAAATGCTCACAAATTGTGAGCCCCAAAGCATCAAACATGGCCAAAATCCTGAAAATCCTGAAGAAAAACACCGGTGCCTGAATTGAGATAGTTTTCCTCATGTATCTCTCAATTCAGGCCCAAACCGATAAAACAAATGCCGAACCTTTGCCAGGTCGCGTCCCGAACTCCGCCAAGAACCCCACGCATGAGAAGCCCGAGGCCACGGCTGAGACGGCCACATAGGTGGGTAAGGCTGCCGCAGAGAGGGCTGCTAAGCCCACCAAGGATTCGGCCTAGAAAAACAGCGGCTTTGGTTGACAGTTGATGGTTGTATAAGTTGTTTATTCCCAAAAACTAACAGAATGCTCTTACAATGTCTTACATCATCTTACATCTCCATATTAGGGGCTTAGTCCTCAACAGTCAACAGTAGGGATGATGAGTGGATTGACGCACAAAGAACCAATGGACCAAGGTGTTGGGAGCCAAACCGGCTTGATCTCTGGAACGATGTAGAGAATCTAGAAGCCCAAGGCCAAAAGCTGTATAATATATATTTCAAACAGGGTGATGTTCAAGGCTGCGTTGTTTTCAGTTGATCTGGGCACCAAATATACGAACCTTTTTGGCTTTCGGAGTTCTATGTTCAGCTGAAATGGTGTTGAGTCTTGAAACGGCACCATTGAACTGTCTGACTGTGGGTGATCCAGCCCGCTCAAGTGTGCAAAGAACTACAGTAAATAGTTGAAGAAAAAACAGGAAAGCAAGCAATCAAACAAATACAAACATAGTTGTCCAAAGTGTTTCTCTGCGGGGGCGGCGTTCTCTCGCGTCATGCTGGAAACCACTGGATCCTCCGACCCGTAAGCCGTTGTGGCGAGAAAACATCGGTCTCTTCGTCTCTTCAACGGACCCCCCGGCGTGAATCCACTTGGACAGGGACAAACACAAAGAAACTGTGATACCAGTCAGTGGTAATAGTTATATAAGTAGGCAATCTTGAGGTCACCTCTTCTGGCATTTTGCCTGTACACCGTGTCCATCTTCACAATTTAGCATCAATTGGCCTGCAAACCCACGGAGTAAGGTGTTGTACTGACAGTTGCTCACCTTGCTGGCAACCTTCCGAAGGCAACTCAATCGAATTAAATGATTTCTGGAAAGAGTAGCTGAGTAGCTCTGCCCTTCTGCCCGGACACTTGGTGTTTTCAGGTCACTGATCTCGCCTCTGCATGCTGCCGCAGCAGCAGGGCCGCGTCTTTCTTGGCATAGGCCACTTGTTCTCTGCCCACCCTTTCTTGCCACACGGTCAGCAAGCCAATCCCTCCAGTGACCAAGGGCAGAATCACTTGAGATGCATCAGGCCCTAAAATGCTTGGAGATGCCTCAGCTGAGCTTGGAGCTGTGCTGCGGTCGGGCGACATGCGTGGGCAACTTGTCCTTGATCAACTGGTTTTGATACCCCTTCTTGATCCACACACCAAACAAACCATGTTAAACACTCACTATTGGGAGTTCCCCGGCAAAACCTCCTTCAAACAGCAAACATGGTTGGGACATGCTGAACCTGGAGTCAGCCAGCGTAATTCTCTTTCATGCAACTCACATTCCATTGTCGTGCGGGAGTGTGTACATAAATATGTACACGTTTGCCGCCTCAACCCCATTGTCAGCCACTATTCTGATTGTTGGTGTCAAGCTTTACCAGTCTTCAGGCTTGACCAGTCGCTTTTGTGGAAGCCAAAACCCTTCCCTTCGGAGCATTCCCGTGGTCAAGAAGCCTGGGCGGTGGCCGCTGCCACTCCAGCAGTGGTGACCCAGGAGTTCCACTGCTCGGGGACGCCTTCAGCCAAAGTGAAGTCCAACTCCTTCTTCAAGGGATCCAGAAACTCCTTCAAACGGTTTATATTGTTTTTTTCTATCAGAAAGATTGTGCATAAAGATATATGCATTTAAAATATATATATATAGTAATCTATCTACAGCTAACATTATGTATATAACTATACTATAACTTTGTGTTTTTGCTCTGTGTATCATTAGTCTTGGCTCACAGCCCGGGACAGTTGAGACCTACTGGTATCCAGAAACTCCTAACATAAGTGTGTTTTTTTCAAACTAACGAGTATACATACACACGTATATATATATATATATATATACATATTTATAGCCATATAAATACATATATGTATTTGTATACTCAATTTGGGTAAAGTTGGAGAATTTGCTAAGGCTCATGTAGCAAAATTCAATTTGACTTGGACTTTCTATGACCGCAGGTTTGCTTTGCATACGGCTCTATTTACAGTACTCCTCTGATTGTCAGTGCTGAATTGTTTCCCTTGCGCTGCAAAAAAGGCAATGCCCGTCTCAGTGTTACTCGTGCTGTTTCGCTTTTCTCTGTGCGTTGATCCAGTTGCACCTCACATAAAGTATGAGGGGCGGTCAAAACTCAAAACTTTGTTCTTCTTCAACCCAAGAACGGACGCTATCGGTTTTGAGGGACCTTGTTGTTTTACCGAGTTGTGACTTTGCCCCGTGCTTGTGATCATATACTATATACAGTATTATACAGTGCTGGGTCATCGGTTTTGAGGTGGACCTTCTTGTTTTAAAGGGTTTTGTGCACAAACCTGCCCATCTCTACTAAAGTGGTGTTCACACATGTTTTTTACAGTGGTACATACCATCGATGTGTCTTCCATGCTAAATGCAATGTCTTCCATCTTGAGAAATATCGTGATGGATCCATAGAAACCTTCAGTTTGGGTCTTCGCGAGGCAGAAAAAAGGGGCTCTGACTATGCTACCTCCGCGGGAAGAAAGCAATTAGATGTTTAATCCTCAAACCGCCAAGTTGGGTGAAAGAGGAATCTGAGCCAAATGCACAACCTCAAATTCCTGAACCTGGTATCCACATTCCTGCTAATAACTGGGCTTCCGGACTGTGAGGTTGTGAAACAACTACACTGTATCTTCCAAAATCATGCTTCCCCGGTTGTTCAGCAACAAGCGTAGCATATGAAGGAATCATGTGGCACCAAGCAGGACTCAATCACATTACAGGTATTCCATGGTATTCCTGTTGGGATGCCGACACTTGTGTTTCTGGATGTTTCTGGCTTTGTCAACACTATTAGTGGATGTCGTCCTCCTGAATGTCCCAAACCTTGAGCAAAACCTCTTCCCCATGTCCTCAGGGCCTCAGGGTCTGGGCTCCATATCCCAGCCATGTCGCTCCTTCTGGACAAATTCCGGCAAGCTTTGCTCATCTAAGACGTCTTGATTCCCCTGCCCCGTGTTCTTCACAGACACAACGCGTTGGTTTCCTCACAGGGGGAATGGCCATGACATGCTTGCACGTCTGCAAGGACTGTTTGGCCTGACAGGAGCCCAATGAGCCCAATGCTACTGCACCGGCAAAAAGATGGACTCCCCAATCAAGAGACTTCGGACTTCTGACTTCTGCTCAGTCCTAAGGTAAAGGACTGGGAATACATGTTGAGCTCCGCCGCCAAAAGATGCACTTCGCGTCGGCCCTCTTTGGATCGGATGCGGAACTCTTTCAGTTCCCCGGGGCGAAGCGCCAGGATTTCCTTCTTGATCTCACCTCAGCTGGCTCGGTGTGACCGCGTTTGAACACCGGACCTCGTTTCTTCGTCCAACAAGACCAAGCATGTGTGTGTGTATGTATATATATGTATACATATGCTTGGCATAGACTGATCATAAGTGACCAACTGCACACAAACTGTTTTCAGGCCCTTTTGGAGGGTCAAAAGTGGATAGATAGTCTTGTCAAGGGGATCTAAAGAGGTGGTGAATGGCGTCTACTTCTTGGACTTTGACTGGAGACCAACCACCCCAAATTCACAGTGTTTTGGCTCAAAAGAAGCACTGTCCGGAGAGAAGACCTCCTTCTGCAGGCGGCCAAACTCAATCAGCGAAGCATCGATGGCATTTCGATTCCGCGTGGATTTCGGTCCATATTTGACGATGCGGGCTTCATTGGTCGCCGCATTGGACTCCACCTCAACTAACTTGGCATTCAGAATGGCTTGGCATGCCTGCCCAACAGCTCCCCATGGGAACAAGGCCACCAAAGCTCTTGAGAACTCCATGGCCAGCTCAGCCCCCCCTCTGGCTACAGCGGAGAAGGCACTTCGGACTGGGATGATGGCAGCCTCTTGCTGTGCCTGGGCACAAAACATCTCGGCCAACGCAGCCTGCTTGGACTGCATGGCACATCGCTGTTCCTCAGATGAGGCCCGAGGCATGTCGTTGGGTTGTAGCTTCAAACGACGGATGTGGTGCCTGCAGCTCGAAGTTCGAATGACTTAGAAGACTGGAACAGGACCTGGTGTCGGCAGTGCTTTTCAACGTGGAATAAACAACCTCAGGAAAAAGAACAATTTTTGCTGCTTCCCTGTTTGTGGTCTCAATCCATGTGGAATATGATGCGTCATTGGAGGTTGCGGATTGGCTTCTTTCATGCGCACGATTTTCGATGAATGAGGCAAGTCTGAAACTGATTGCAGTACAGTGCTACAGCATGAGTCCCCTTAAGAAGTCATTTAAACACTGACTTGCGACCTGCATTGACTGGCATGTTCATGCATTTTCCACATGATCCCACCCTTCCAAACAACTCAAAAAGGCGTTTGCTCCGTCAATGAGCCCATTTCATGTTCATGAGCAATGAGCATCTTCAAGATCCTTCCTTCATCTTCCTTCCCTCATCTTCCCTCCTCCCAAACTGAACTCTCAGTTCACCCAACCGTTCCGCCGTTCTTCTTCGCAACAACTCTCCGAGGCTCGGCATCCGTGAAGTCCTTCTCCCCCAGCAGGAAGGCCACCGCCGCCTGCGCGGCCGCGGAGGCTGAAATGGCCACGGAGGCATCGTCTAAGAACTGCTGCACCGCCTTGTTGAAAAGGAGACCTCCAGGGCCAGGAGATGATGGCGAAGGAGATGAACATCACAGGTCTGACAGGTCTTCTTGTTCTTGTTTGGGGTGTTGGTCTTGTTTTTCTGGTGCTTTTCTCCATCTAGCCCGGGAGCAAATGCATAAACTGGATTTCACTGTCAAGTAGAGAATGCCTGGGACAATTGAGGCTCGATCCCTTTTTTCCGGGGATTTGAGGATGTGTTGGCCAAGAGGCATGCGAAAAAAAAACTGGAAGACACTGGGTGGTGGGTAAACTCAGTGCGTCTGGAACACCAATAGGACCAATACCGGATTAATTTTACAGTAGCCTCGCTTGGAGAGTTTCTTGGGGCAGAGATTCGGAGATGATTTTAAAATGAAGAGAAAGAGCAAACGGAATGGGAAAGGGAAAGTTGAGTGCGTCAAACGCTTGGCGGAGATGGGGAAGGTTTCAACCTTCCCCCCCAAAAAGACCAGTTCCCGTAGCACTGTACTCCTCATTAACGGCGACTCCTGAAGTACCAAAGGAAATGGGTTCATTCCTGCTCACTAGACTAGACCCAAAGCTCCGAGATAGCTCGCTCCGAGAGACGGTTGCTGTCAGCCAGGCTGAGATCAAAGCCATCCACCAGAAAAGGCAATGGCAAAAAACAAAACAGAATGGTGAAGATGACCACATTTCCTTGGATTTCTGGTGCGAAGAAGCCAAAATCTGGGGAGCTTTGACTGGATTAGACTGCCGGCTCTTTGAGGGAGGCGGTGATTTCTGTCAAGATGGTGCATACCATGAGTAGCACTGTATGTGATTCACTTTTGGAGGATCTGGCCAGGGAATTTGCGCATGCATTTATATATATATATAAAGATGCTCAAGTCATCCTTTTGTTCCACTTCGCAGCGAGTTTGTC